GGAAAAAGTTGTAGCTAGCGATGGGCAATACTTTGAATGATTCATTTGTAACCATTTTTTCACAATAAAGTTGCATTTTCATAAAAAAAACAGCGATAACATAGTTGCGCACCTAATATATATATATATATATATATATATATATATATATATATATATATATATATATATATGTAAAAATCGGTTTTTATTTATTTCGTGAATAAATATCAATGTATCACTTATACTTATAACATACGTCTTACTACTGCGGATGACCATATTTCACTACTTTGACCCTTTATATCTTGGGAAATATTGACTTTTGGAACTTGGTGCAATGATAACTTTTTATCAGCATGGCGAAAACTATAACATAGTGAAATTTCAGCCAATTTGATCGAAAACCATTTTCCATAGGTTTTGTGCAGGGTCCTTTATTAATAAAAATTTTGAAAGGTCGGAGGTTATTAGGAAACAAAATTTTAAGCCAAATTTTATTTATAAGCAGAATTTGGGAAATTTACAAAAAGAGTGTTGGCAAATGTGGAAAATTAGGACATTTTCGAGCAGAATGTCCGGCATTAGGATTAGAGAATAAAAAAAAATTAGGTTTTGCCGAATGAACGGGGATGTTTCGGCAACAAGGAAAGAACCCCCGATTTGTTTTAGATTAGATCGTGTTTATAAAAATGCTTTTAGTTTTAAAGGAATGCTTGATAACGAATATTATAATTTTAAAATTAATACTGGCTCAAATGTTTCCATCGTAAGTAGTAAATTTGTTAAAGCTTCAAAGAAAGTTTTTTCAATTGAGAATAGTCGTTTAATTTTTCCTACTGGAGAAATGATTTCAGTTCAATATCAAACAAATATGAAAATAAATTTAGAGAAATTTTCTGTAGATTTGTCTATGTTTATTGTTGATATGGAAGAACATTGTCTTTTGGGAAATGATTTCTTATCATTTGCAAACTTAGAATTCTGTCTTCGTTCGGTTTTAGGTTTATCTCAGTCTGATAATAATAAGAATGATTTTATGTGTGCTTGAATTGAAAATGAAAACGTTGTTCTTACATTTGTATCGCAATTATTTGAACGGGATTCAAAAAATTTGAATTCCTTCCAAAAAAGTCTTTTGCTAAAATTTTGTTGAATTTCAGGATATTTTCTCTGAGGAAATAATAGCTGGGAATTATAATGTTCTGGAACATGAGATTAAATTAAATGATCCACGGCCAATCAAACAAGTTCCTCGTCGGGTTCCAATTTATTTACGAAAAGATGTGGATAAAGTTATCAAGGAAATGAAAGAAAAAGGTGTTATTGAAAAGTCTCAGAGTCCTTTCTCCTGCAGTATTAGTTATCCCTTTATATCTTGGGAAATATTGACTTTTTTTTGGGACTTGGTGCAATGATAACTTTTTATCAGCATGGCGGAAACTATAACATAGTGAAATTTCAGCCAATTTGACCGAAAATCATTTTCTATAGGTTTTGTGCGGGGTCCTTTAACAAGTTTGCTAGAGGCAGCTAGAAGCGAAACATCGAGTGCTGCTCCATGTATCCTGGATACCTTCTCAACTTTCTGTATCCACAACTCCACTTCTTCATCCTCACTTCCTTCAAAATCGGGAATTTGTGACGCTAACAGTTTCACCGCTTGCGCCGGAGAAGTAGAGATCAATGTCGGACTAGGTGGTCTGCTAACATTAGTATGCGGGTTGAGAGTCGAACCAGAATAGGTTGGCTAGGCTCCGCTTGATTCCTGGCTACGTTTAACAATACCAGTTGAGCTAGAATCTCCTGCTGCTGTTTCATTTGCAACGTTACGCACTCAAGCAACTTAAGGAGAGTTGAATCAGAGGAGACAAACGGCACTTCACTAGCTGGAGATAATATACTTCTCTGCTCACCGTCTGATTGATCCAGTGGAGGCAAACATGACGATCTTGGTTCACGAGAACTTGATATTTCATATATATCCGCTGGAGCATTACGTTCGAAGTGAGACACCAGGGCCTCAATACACTTTGGTATGGTCTTTTCGATTGGTAGTCCATATTTAACAAGTTCTTGCCGAAGCTCTTGTAATGACATCGCATCAAGAAGCAATCTGTCCATTTTTACCGACAGCACTTAAACCACAACAATCCCTACAGAGGGCCGCATTAATCGCGACGTGAGAGAGAGAACGACGTATCCAAAAAGGAGAGAAAATTGACCGTTAACTATAATGCTCAATCAAAATGGCGGCAATCTGGGCCAGAAAAAGGCGGGAACCACGTGTGCTATTGTCTACACGTGTAAAACACCACACGACCACAAATGAACCAACAAAAGTCTGAATAGGGCGGTTGAAACACGCACTGTCAACCCAACCAACGCGGACCAAGCTAAATGCAGTCCGTGGTGTCCGAAAAGGCACACACGCAAACCGTCCTGAAATTCACTGATCACGTTTCAGATGTGTCCACGATGTAATCGAAATATATCCCTCAAGGTATCTGATGCACATCTCTGCTATCCCAAACGAATCAAAGTGTATCCTACTTATGATGCTGCAAGTCTTTGCTCCTAGGTGTTTTAACAAGCTTAGTGTCAGGAGGCTTCTCTGGTTATATCCTCTTAAATTACTACTGGAGGAGCGTAATGCCAGGTTGATGGTGATCCAGAGATAATAGGAGTCTCTCCAACGTCTTATGTTTCACAAAATATATCTTTATTTTTGGTACAGTCACTTTTACCTTTCGTAATTCTTTTAGCTTTACTACTTCTACTCACAGGCTCTCTTAACTGACTACTCGTCTGCGCACGCACGTACTCATATCACCCGATACATCTTGGCCAATCATAGCCCGTTATATCGTCATACATTTCACTGCCGTCCGCGGCGCTCTTAACCTATCCGCGATGAGATAGACTAGTGCGCCCAGCACCGAGGTTGTAGCGCCACCTTAAGGCTAACAGTCATAGAAATTTAACTTAAAAGACCGGGAAAATATCTTGGCCAATTTTCCATCTTACAGAATTATTATTTAGTTATGTCTATGAATTAAAATGTTTATTGTTGTCATTACTTTTAATTTATTATATGAGATTAAAACGGAGAAAAACACACAAAAGATGGCAAAATAGAAGATGGCTCATGAGACCAATTAATCAACAGAGAAAACAGCAATATTCTTCCACTGTTCTTCAGTTAGACATGCTAAATATAGAGGCTGTAATGTATTAACAATAACTAGACACACTTCTTTCATTAACTGTCTAACAGTTGACTGCCCAACTCGAAAAGAAAATGCAATACTTGCTATTGAATTCCCTGTTGCAAGATATCTGAAAAATATATCACAATTTTTGCTATATAGTTTATAATTTCGTAAAACATTTTTTTCTAACAATGATTTCTAAACATAACTAAAAATTTAAGAAGTAGTTACATCAAATAATTTTTTACTAATAAACTATATTTAACTTAATGTTATTATTAACCTGTGTTCCGGAGATAGAGCTTTTTTAGTTTTTTTATAAAATAAGGTCTTAACATGGTTGATAACTTGTTAAAATGTTGAACATTCATCCTGACATATTTGGCAAACATGTCTTCATCAGTTTTTAATTCTTGAAACAGATTTTTATTCTCCTTGCTGTTTTCTCTGTTAATTAATTGGTCTCACGAGCCATCTTCTATTTTGCCATCTTTTGTGTATTTTCTCCGTTTTAGTCCCATATAAAAAATTAAGAATAATGACAACAATAAACATTTTAACTTCATAGATTTTGATGTTTTCATATTTGTTGACATGAGAACCTAAAATTTTATTTCAATATTTATATGTCAAACATATTTTATACATAGTGTTGGGAAGAGGTTATAGCGCAATGTTTATAATTTTGTACAGATACATTTAACAGTTTAATAAAATTAATATGTGCTCAATATAGACATTTCTAATTATGGCTGTAAAGATAAATTATTATTGTTTCTTTACTTATTGTTCAATAATCTGACTTAATTGCCTTTGTCACAGAACCTCTATGTTCCTTCGTAATGTAACGTAATGTAAAATTTGCGTGCGTTGCCATACGTTCAGCTTACGTCTCACGTAACGTAAGATACAAAAAAATCTTTACTTAAAATCTGATTACAACAAATCTGATTACAACAAAATCTGATTAAAAATTTAAACAACATAAGAAAACTAAAAACAGCTAAAACATATTTTAAAAATTATTATTTAAACAATCTTTTTGCCCGATCAATTGCACATTTGAAAATACTTTACTGAAAAATACAATAAAAAAACATTTAAAAATAATTATACTAAAAAGTTGTTACTCAGAAAAATTGTCATTACAAAAAATATTAAAGAAGCAACTGAACAAAAATTGTATAACAGTTGGCTATTTACAAAAAAAAAAAAAATACAAAGAATAAAAATTGTTACTTAAAAAAACTGTTATGCAAAAAATCTTTACAAAAAAAATATAACAAACAAATCCTATTAAAAGATATTTTACAAGTCTTTACAAAAATATTAATTTTGAGCTATAGCTATTTAATTTTGTACTCTCTACAAAAGTAATGATATAAAGAGGTTTACGCCAAATGCGAATGATTAATCATTAACATTTCAGTTCTCACTTTTATAAACACAAATTCTTTTAACTATATAAATATTTAAAGTAGATAAATATTAA